GGAAAAATCAATTAACAAACGGAGACGTAACAGTAATATTATGTGACTTTAAATCTACGACCACAAACTTACTGATGTTTTGTTGGGTAATATTCGCGCAAAGCTATAAAAAGCGCTATCTATGCATGGCCGTCGCTAATGCTTAATTGAATAGACTAGAGGAAAGGCAGCTAGCCAGCAGCATCCACCGCCAACTCTTGGGCTTTTCTTGTCTGACAAAAAGGTATAATTTGGCCGTCGATCTTACAGCACTCCCGTGGCCTCAGAGTGCGGAACGCGATATTGTGGCTGTGGGAGTGGGAACCACGAACCCACAGAACAAGCAATCCACCCATTGGACTATGCACGTCTCCTACTAAAGTGATGGGATAATAAGGTTCACAGTCCAAGCAAGCTAGCCATCAGACTCCGCTTAGCCCCTACTGAAGTGCTAGCACAGTCAAATTCACAGTCAGAGCACACTAATCATCGAACCATGCTCAGCCCCTACTAAAGTGCTAGAACAGTTAGGAACGTTCTCAACACCTCCATTTCTTTTTCACTTGATGCTAACTGATGTAACGGTCAATAACCCTGAAAGAACGAATGCAATTGCAATAGAAAAACCCGAGGTATCTCCCAAAATGCCATAAATGAACACTACTTTTATCGGCTTTAAGCCCATCTCTTTAAATAACTAGGAAAGCAGGCTTTTTTATTTTAGTATAAATGTGTCTGTTTAAGTAAGTATCGTGAATAAAATTAATTATTAGAAACAATCTAAGCGCATTTTGATATATTATTTAAATGCATTATACTCACTAAACATGTGTAAAACATATTAATACGTCTATACAGCTCTTTTTTTATTGTTTAACAAAGTTCCAATTACATATATATATAGTAAGACTCCTTGATATATTTACAAAGACGTGTATTGTTTTATTATAAGATTTATTGACGCCTGCGTAGTGTAATCTGCTGTTTGACATTAAGTTCAATTAATTTCAGGCACATTTTAGCTTAATGTTCATATTCTGTTTGAAATTCGCTTTATGTCAAACATATTACGAACTATCTGTTATATAGTGACTGTTTGACATTAAGTTCAATTAATTTCAGGCACATTTTAGCTTAATGTTCATATTCTGTTTGAAATTCGCTTTATGTCAAACATATTACGAACTATCTGTTATATAGTGACTTATATGACTATATTTTCAATGCATATAGTTTACGGACTCAGTATTATTATATGAATATATTCCGTTTTCATTTCGAGATTAGATTTACATATGAACGTAAGATGCATGTAGTATACTACTTTTTGCTGGCGATTTTAGGATTATGTGTAAGAAAATCAGAATCTGGAAAAAAATGTAACGCTTTGACAATAAAATGGGCGACTTCATGTATTTTTGTTTCAAAGGATGTTGTTGTTTGTTATTAAGCACAAAGCTACACAAAGGGGTATCTGTGCTCTTACCCACCACTGGTATCGAAACCCGGTTTCTAGCGGTATAAGTCCGCAGAGATACCGCTGTGCCACTGAGGGGCTTTTGTTTCAATGTGAGGCATTATGCGATATTTTTTTTTGTTAGTGATTAGAACGAATATTGTATGTATCACCACGATTCCTTTAATTCACGTGGTTGTAAAAGTGTAATGTGTTTGTCATGCACTTATTGCCATTTGTTTTTGAGGCGAATACGTTTGATCTGATAATCTCAAGAGAAAGAAATTATGACGAGCAAGTTGTACAAGTTCGCACTACAGTAAAACTCAAGGATGATTCTTCTTCTCTTGTAGCAGTAAAACATGTAAAATAGGTGATAGCATTGTTCGTAATTTCAGCGACTGCCTCAATCTGCACGTTTTAATGTGATCTGTCTTTTTCTTGCTTTTACAAGAAACAAGGGTCACTTGGACTCAGGAGCGTCACGATATAATTGCTCGCTCAAACTGCCCTTGCCATTTGTCTTCTTTTGTGAGTGTTCATTTTAACGTCTACACAGACATAAACTTTCATAGTTTTTAAACGAAAACATAATGAAATCCTTAATTGTATATATTATTTTCTTACAAAACTTGTATACGTTTCGATGGTACGAATTTTGATGTAAACTTTCACTTTTCAGATATAGTGTGGTTGAGATATAGTGTGGTTGACATATCGTTATACATTCTTTTCTTTCACTCGTAAATTTTAGGAATCATACAAAAATTCAGGAAAATGCTCTAAATGGC